TCCTTTCGCTCCCGAACTTTTATTTTGTACACTTTAGTCCTCAAAAACAAAAAAAAAATTCCTCCCTTAAATTACCCCTATACTTCAGCCCCCAAGAGAACCCCCTGGGTCCGCCCCTGGAACGAAGAATCCAATCGTGGAAAGAAGATGCGAATGCGAATTTGAAATTGACGGCCATGATTTGTGATGATGTCGAGGAGGAGAAGCTGCGCCGCCTTGGGATTTTCTCGAACCCACGCATAACTAAGTACAATGATTTTTTGCAGGAATATTCCATGTTAGAGAGAGAGAGAGAGATCTAGAGAGAAAAAGTAGTGAAGAAAGGAAGGTAGGGGAGATCTAGTAGTATTTAATATTTATAAGATTGTGGTTACTTGTTAATTAATTAATTACTCCTTAGTTTAGTACAATCATAATCCTTCTTCATCATATTTACTAATTTAGGGTTTTTTTTTTTTTAGTAACATCTAATTTAGGGTTTTTTTTTATGAGTAACATCACATCTAATGTAGGGTTTAATTCTTCCTTTTTTTAACTAGTTAACCGCGTGTAATTTAGGAATATATTTAATAATATTAAATACAAAATAAATTATATAAATATATAATAATTTTAATATTATAAATACATATTTTGGAAAATCAAAATTTTAAATACACTATTATGTTAAATATTTGAAAATTTCATGTATACTGATAACTGATATGTAATTTTCTTTTTTTTTTTAATCCAAATTTAGAAAATCTAAATGAGAAAAAAATTGTTCCAAAATTAAAAACGACGTAATACGAAAATCCATTTGAACTTTTAACCTAACTATTATTTTTATTTTTATTTATATTACGCCTTTTCGGGGCAGAATAATTGCCGGCAATCGACGGTGATAGACGACTTCGCATGAAACGGAGTATTTCCTGTCGAAAGATTTCAAGAAGAAGATGAAGTTGACGAACTAATTGAGTTGTAAATTTGAACTCCTTAATTCGACGAAATTGGCTCGATCAAATTAAAACGATTTGTCAATACAATTTCGACAATAACGCGATTTAGTAACGGAAAAAAGTTCGTATTAACGTGATGAAATTCATACATGCATGCATGAACACAAGTTGAAGAAATAAAGCATATCACCACAATTAAACTTGCATGAATATAGAAATCCTAAATCAAGAATATCTAATCAAGAATGAATTCTGGAAGACGAATATCGCCAAATTGATTGCGATCCTCGTAGAACGTAACAGCAGAGCGGGGACAAGGATAAATCTGGTAAACGGAGCGCAGCAGCGCCGACGCCGCCGTCAGCAGCGGCGGATCATGGTTGGAAGTGTGGCGGTGGTTCTCGACGACAAGGAAGCTGATGTGAACGCGCTCAGTATGGCAGAGCCGGCCCTAGGGTTTCCAGGGCCCTAGGCGAGATAAAAAATCGAGGCCCTGATCTTATAAATTTTTGTTTGCAATATTCTTTTCTATTAAAAAAATAATTATCTATATATATATTAGGCTTTCTTTTATTTAATTTTGGGGCCCACATTAAAATGGGGCCCTAAGCGATGGCATCTCTGGCTTCCCCTCAGGACCGGCTCTGCAGTATGGAGTGGGAGGAGGGATGCGACGACGGGCGACGATTTAGCGACAATGATTACGGCCAACTCGTGACGCTCCTCGGGAGTGAGTGGCCAAGCTGCGATTTGGGGGGCGATGGTGCGACGTACTCTATCTAGGTTCTTGAACTGGCGGTGGTTGAAGGAGACTGAGTTCCGGATGAGTTCACTGTCGACTCGGTCGATGAACTCAGGCACCAAGCAATTGGGGCGATTGATCCAGTTGAAGCGGACGGATTTGAATGCGAGTTTGATGTGGACGATAATAAAATGGTGGGACGACGGCAGCGGGTCGGGGCGTGGGGTTTTTTCGGTGTCGTGCATAGTCAACATCAATGATTTGCTGCAGAGATTGATGGGATATGCCATTTTCAATGATCGGAGCAAGTTTTTTAGAGAGAGAGAAGAGAGAGCTAGAGAGAGAGAGAGAGAATTGGAGATGAATGAAAGAAAATCTTCAGAGCAAAGTGATGATGAAGTACGTAGAAATTAATATATATATAGGATTTTTTTTATTATTATTTTTTTTTTAATTAATTGTTGAGTTGGTGAATTTAGTTATAATAACTGATACAGGTACAACAAGAGAAAGAAAGTATTTGTTATTTTGCTCTGTTTATAATATCAAGATTAGGGTTTTAGCTAACTAATTAATAAAGTCAACTTAAATTAGTCGGATATTGATTCAATTTGTGTATACCAATTTTCTAATTAAAAATATATTTTTTTTACAATTTATTTATATCGAAACAAATAAAAAAGAAGTGATCAAGTAAAAAGGACAAGTTCAAGCAAATAAATATTTATTAAAAGTTGATTTTATTATTTTAATTAATTTGAGAATAGAGCATGATCTTATTTTTCTCCCAACATATATGTTAGTTTTACTCAAAATTCTTTTATTTAGCTAGCTTTATGGATTGTTTATTAATCTAATTTTACTTCTAACTATCTTTTTTTAATTTTTTTTAATAAATTGGATTGGCCTTATAATATGACATACAATGCAACGCACACGCCCAAAGGGATTCGAATTTTCTACATCATGCTGTCTGAAAAAAAAAAACGAGTTTTTAACACACGTGACAATATTGGCCACATATTAAGGTAACATCAATCGATGCCATTAATCGAATTTTCTACATCATGTTGTCTGGAAAACAAACATGGATGGAAATGAAATAAAGAAGAAAAAGAATTAGAACACCATGAAATTTTACATAACATTGTACTCTGCACACCAAAATGTACGAAAAGAGGTGTCGAATTGACCCTCTTCTGCTCAATCTCTCTCTAAATTCTCCTTAAAACGTAATCATGGCGAGTTGCCACCGTATAATTATCGAAACTTCTGTCTGTACTGTAGGCTTATCTAGCCAAAGATAAAAAAAAAAACAATTTGGAACAACCGATCGCCAAATCCTAGTTCCATGATCAAAACAAAAAAGAATGACGCAACATACGAAAACCACTTCAGAAACGAAACGAGAAAAAAAACCAGAATGCTCCCCAGCACCCCATATAAAGCAAACGCACTTCTTCGAGGGCCTATTTGTAAAAACTCAGGCCGATTTAAAATTAAAAAAAAAATAATAAAAAAATTTCTCTACAATCCACAAAAACTCCAGATGGATGCTGACGATGATTTTGAAATCTGCACAAAAAATAATTCTTAAAATTTGGGAATTATAGACAATGGAGAAGGGACCTCTTGCATGGTGGATTCTGTGAGGGGCAGTCCATTCCTAAAGTTTTCATCAAGAAATGCTTTTCCTGCAAAATAATTCATCAATTAAAAGGTCTGTATCTATACGTGTGTGTATACATATATATGTATATATAGTGATACTATATTAATCTTACACTTTCTGAAAACTTTGGGCTGGGAATGGAAGCTGCCAATGATCTAAACAACGGAGTCACGTGAACAGGGGAACAGAATTCCGTGCTCGAATATTCAAACATGTCTTCTCTATCACCGCCCATGTCGCCGCCACATGTCAGCACGATATTCGCTGGATTCAAATTTAGAAACATCGTCAGCTCGGTACAATTAGGCTCTATTTGGTTCATCGATTTTAAAATGAGGAGATTTGGCAAACAGATCATTAGTACCTTCGTTTTCCTCTGCAAGAAAATATTGACCGGATTGTAATTCGCATTCTTCCGTTATATCGCAAGGTGCATTCGATAACAGAGTTGACCCCGTACTGTATTCAGAGCTAGCTGAGGAGGACTCCCTACACAATCAACCGAGGTTAAAATAATCGGCATACGAAACACAACTATAGTTAAAGACTTAATCGACCCTCTTAGTTAGTAGTAGTTACCTCCACGAAGATCTACTGCCTTCGTCGCAGCTTCTTAAATCCTCCACTAACTCTTTAAATTTCTCCACATTAAAATCAATGTCTGAATTTTTTATCGGAAGAAGATCGACTTCTTCGTTTTCTTTGAGAAAATCTTGAAGAACAATCCAAGCATTTTCAAGGCTCTGCTCTGTTTGCTCTGTATTAACTTTTATTGCAAGCGAACTAAGCAATTCTTCTTGCTGGATTAACGCAAGCATCTTCGGATCGTCTTTCCCAAGAAACGTTGTCCTGATTAAATCAATATATATTATATCATTAAACAGAAAAAAAAATTATATGACAAAACTAAATTAAATTTTAATGTACCTTGTCTTTTTAAGAGTCGGAGCATTTTCGGAGGTCAGCGCATTATTACGGAAAATTACCCTTTTGTTGTTTAAGTTGATGAAAGAAGCGGTGGTGTTTTCTTTTGCTAATGCTTCTTTTTTCGCTCTCTTCTTGCACAGAGTGGTGAAACGATTCTTCACTGCATTATCGGTTCTGGCAAAGACAAGAAACGGATTGGTTTATTACAAACAACCTTAAAACTTTATTTAACAAACATATATTTTTGGGCAATGTTTGAATTTTTTTACCTGCCCGAAACCACCTTTGCAATCTCAGTCCATCGGTTTCCAAATACCTTCTGTGCCTGCAATGAAATTCAAATTTCTATTCGACTTAAAAAAATGTGGGAATTTACGAAAATGTCGTAAAGTATACCCTTTTTTTGCAAAATCGAAAAGAGTAGGAACAAAAAAAACCGAGGAGCTGGAAATATCTGATATATACCTCACATAAGAGCATATCTTCCTCGGGCGACCATCCACCTTTCTTGAAATCGGAATTCAAATAAGTGAACCATCTGAATAAGAACAACAGTTTAATTTAAAATTTAAATCAAATAAAAGAAATAGTTTCAAGATTCGTCGGATCGATAAAAAACAGAGGATGGTGACTCAGAATTGACGTCCACCAACCTTCTTCGACATTGTCTTGTCGTTTTATCCTTGAATTTCGAGGCAATAATTGCCCAACTATCACAAAATTCAAACTCATAAGTTTAACTCAGCCATTTCAAAAATAACCTTCAAACAAATACCAAAGAATCAATTTTATTTTATTTTGTTTTTTACTTTTCAGTCCCGTGTACTCGAATCTGCTCCCGTAGAATATCGTCCTCCTGTAAATTATCATACACAACCCATTTCTCCTTCAGATTAATAAATTGGATTATATAAACAATCGCCTGAACAGAAAAAAAAAAAAAAAAAAAAAAAAAGAGTTGTAAATTTCACCTCTTTAGACCAAGAAACAATATGCCTTTCTTTCTGCTTTGGCAGTTGACCATTATTTGCATCACCATTGTTGCTGTTGTTCACCTTCTTCATGGTCTCTGTAACTTGTAAATTCCTCTTCCTTCTTGCATGCTCAAAAGCAGATTCTTCTGTATGTCTGAGAAATATATGTATATATAAAAAGATGGTCTTTTATAATAACCCGAAAACGGAACAGAGAATAAAAACAACGGAAAAAAATGGAAGTGTTGGTCTTTTACGTACCGAAAAGGAAAAGAAAAACAGCCTAGGATTCTTCGACCTTTTTTCTCACTCCGCTTTCTGGAGCAAAACAACAAACACCTTATGCGCATTAATAAAAAATTGAAAAAATTAAAACCGATAATCATAATTAGGAACCCGTTTCAAGAATTCAAACATACAAATGTAACAGTAAAAACTTGTCTTTAAATTACTCCACCCGCATCAAATATCGAGATTCGAGAAAGAAGAGTGTAGAAGAACTTGCAATCCAAGTATTTATTTTTGATCGAGGTTTGAAAATAATGAATAAATAAATGAAAAAAGGAACGCTGAAATCCACGAGAGTATAGTTAATGATGGGAGCAATAGACAAACCCCACAATCACCCCACGCTCACTGTCACTGTGTGTGTGTGTGGTGTGTGCGCTGCCGCCTATATTTGGTGTGGTTGGTTGGTTGGTTTTCTCTGTGTAGGTACTTGACGATGTTCGTGACTCAACTATTATTACACTATTTTTTTATTTTTAAAATAAAAATTAAAATATCACACTATATTTCCCACTCTCACTAAATTTGGATTCAAAAATTTGAGCAACGTTTTTTTTTTTTGACAAGTTGTCTATTAAATTGTTATATTAATCTGAAATGTTAAATGTCGTTTTAATTTTATTTTATTAATACTGTATCGACTTTAAACGTGATTTGACCATTTTTTTGGTTTGAGTTTGACAAAACTTAAAACACGAAAATTGTAATTCTTTGAGTTAGACTTCTAGTCCAATTTGAATTAGTATTACGTGTCGAATGACAAAATTATATGTGAATGAGTTACATTTTAAATTTTAATTAACTCAAATATCAAAATTGGGGAAATTGTCCACTAATTCATGCATATCTTTCTCATACGACGTCCAATCAACGAGCTACAAATTTTAAGTTCCGGTCAAGTTTTGCCAAAAATGAAATTGAAAATGGTCAAAAAAATCATGTTTGAAGTTCAGAAGTGGTATTTCATTTTATATTTATAGAACTTGGAATTTTGAAAATTCAGTTGTAACTTTTCTGGGGATTGGTGATTCAATTCAGTGAAATAATATACTATTTATGAAATAAATAAATGGAATATGTCAGATTCAAACTATAGGTTTATGGGAAGGCACGTGATAAAAAGAGAACCGGATAGAGGAATGTTTATTACCTCCCATATTTTTTTTGGTCACCGGCCAGCCTGTTTCTGACCGTTCAACGACAACCTTCTGTTACAAATATAATCTCTTTCTTTATTTTATTTTATTATTATTATTTTTCTTTATTTTTATCTTAATTTGATGCAGTAATGAAGGTTTTTGGATAAGGAGATGCAAACCTTAATTAGTCCTTAGTTAATTATATTTTCTTGATTAGATTATCTTCATCCAAGAAGATAGACTCATGATTTTTTTCAGTCAAACCATTAGTATATATATATATATTACATCTCCCCCTCAACTATGAATTTTCTTACACATTTATCCTTATGGTGTTAAATTCATCATAATCATCTAGATTTCGTAGAATGTGCTCTAGTTTGTACTCGTTTTGTGTAAAAATACAGTTTCTGATGCACCACAATCTGATATATACAAGCCAAAATACACATCTGATGATCATCTTGCTTCAAAATGTGAAGCTCGAATGGGATAAAATGGGTACAAAAGTGATCGTATTGCGTATAACCAAGAAGATTCCACTAAATTTAAAACCGCAAGAGTTAATGTGTAAAAAAAATTATAGTTAACGGTGTTATTGTAATTACTCAAACATGAGAGAGGTTTTCGCAATTTTATTATAGTTCAGGGGTGGTTGTAATTCACACTATATTTAAATTATTCATACTTTGTTTCTTGATCATATCTTTGATTATTCGTTTCAAGGAATCATTTCTTTCTATTGTGGGAAATAATAAACTTTTATTGAATTATTTATTGTAAGAAATTGGATGTACATTCGGATGAGCATAAGGTACAACATTATGGCTTTACAAGAAAGGAGTGTGAGAGTGGAGCTTTGGTGAGGCCCAAGTTCCCAAAGAGATTGAATGCTTCCTTTTGCAAATTTCAATTGTTCATCATTTCAATTAGCGCGTCGGTTTCCACTAATAGGGATGTGCCAAGTGTCCCTACATTTCTGATTAACCCATCAATTTCAACTAACCTTAATTATCAATTTGATTGTAAATTGATAATTAAGATTAGAGTATACTAGTTCTTCACCCGTGCGTTGCACGGAGGTCAGTTTCAAAATGAGAAATAATAATATTTAAACGATTATCTCTTTATAACAATGCCAATTCAAGTAAAACAAAATGGAAGAACATCAAAGAAAAAATATCTCTTAATTCAGAGTTGTAACATATGAAATTCAAATAAATATTACAAAGAAGAATACGCGAAGGGCGCAAACACGATGTGAAGATTAAGTGAAATCTTTTAAAACATATGGTATAACTCTATCTCATGGAATGTAATCTACTACACCATGTGAATCTTGTGCAAAATAACTAACTTAACAACAAACACAGTAGCAGAGAACTAACACAATAGATATTCAAATAACCTGCAAATTTATCACTAACAATATTCAATTAGTGATGCACATTACTCAAACAACAACACAATTTATAAATATTGCAAAGAGAAAAGATGTATACGCCACTACCAATAATGATACCAATACTGATGCTAATACTGATACTCTGATACTAATATTGATACTAATATTGATATTAATACTAATACTAATACTAATACCAATACTAATACTAATACTTACTGATATTGATACTAATACTCATATTGATACTGTTATTGATACTACTAATATTGATATTGATACTAATATTAATACTGATACTGATACTGATACTGATACTGATACTGATACTGATACTGATACTGACACTGACACTGACACTGACACTGACACTGATAGTGATACTGATACTGATGTTGATACTGATACTGATGTTGCTAGTCATAGTGATACTCATATTAATATTATTATTAATTCTAATACTAATACTAACACTCATATTAATATCGATACTCATACTCATACTGATACTCATACTAATACATATATTAATATTGATACTGATATTGGTGTTGATAATAATAATAATATAATACTAAGGGTAAACTTCATTTTACCTACCTGAACTATACCCAACGTATAAAAAATCCCCCTATATTACACAATGTACCAAAACTACCCCTCCATTTTCTTGGTCAACGTTAAATATGTGGAAAAAATTAACACCGCTAGTTTTTATAGGAAACCGTTAGTTTTAACGTGATTTTACACTTTTGCCCCCAAAATCTTCTTCTTCCTCCCTTCTGCATCTTTCTTCTCCGTAATTTTTTTCGTTTATTTTTTTATTTTTTTATTTTCCATCGCCGGACCTGTGGAAATTGATGTGAAGTTTGGTGGGTTGGATATGTATACTGCATCAATTTCTTACTTCTCTTACTTCCGATTAAAAATATATATTTTCCATGGACCAATTGCCTTTTTAAAATTGCCAAATTTAATTTCAACATTGGCAATTCACCCTTTCTTCACACACACACACCCACACACACACATAGATTCGGTTGGAAGAGGCGGTGAGCGAACAGAATACTGGGGAGCAGTCGAAACGGAGTGCGAGCAGCTTTTTGTTGGAAGTCGAACCTCGTTGCTGCGTTACGAACGGCTGACGACCGGAAAACGAATCTGGCGGGGCGATTGTCATTTAATTTTTCTTTTTTCTTTTCTTTTTGCAGTGGGGTTTCAAGAGGTGAACGATGCAAGAAGGGTTATCTGTAAACATTTTCTTCAATTCCACGAACTTAAATTTCGATAGTAACAAATTTTATTTTATTTTTGGTTTTATTTGTGGATTTTCAATTCATTTACATGTTGGTTTATTTGCAGGTGAATGACGTCATTTATATGGCTCTCAAATTTTATATACTTAAATCTGTTTTTCTTTTAATTTCATTAAAGTAATTATTCACATGAAGAAATAATTAAACAGAGGGGTAAATTTGTCAAAAAAAAACAACAGCTGTAATAAAGGTAATAATTGTAAAAAGTCAACATGCCATGTAAGCAAGAGAAAACGGATTTTAAACGGAAGGGCCGTTTTGGTACATTGTGTAGTATAGGGGGGTTTTTTATACGTTGGGTATAGTTCAGGTAGGTAAAATGAAGTTTACCCTAATACTAATACTAATACTAATAATACTAATACTAATACTAATACTAATACTAATACTAATACTAATACTAATACTAATACTAATACTAATACTAATATTAATACTGATACTGATACTGATACTGATACTGAAACTGAAACTGATATCGATACTGATATATATACTGATACAAATACATATACTTATACTGATACTGGTACTGGTACTGATACCGATACTAATACTGATACGGATACTTATACTGATATTAATACTAATATTAGTACTAATATTAATAGTAATACGGATACTAATGCTATTATTAATACTAATATTAATGTTAAAACTAATTTTAATGTTAATGATACACATACTGATACTAATACTGATACTGATACTGATACTGATACCGATACCGATACTAATATTGATACGGGTACTTATAGTGATATTAATACTAATATTTGTACTAATACTAATACTATTACTAATACTAATACTAATACTAATATGAATACTAATACTAATACTAATACTAATAATATTACTATTAGTAATAATGATATTAATACTAATACTATTATTAATATTATTATTAATACTAATATGTTAATGCTAATACTAATTTTAATGCTAATGCTAATCTGGATATACTAATTATTATGCTATGCTAATTATAATTGTAAGTCTAATATTATCCAAATCCTTATCCTATTCCTAATCCTATTCATAACACTAATCATAATTCTAATCCTAATCCAAATCATAATCCTATTCCTTACACTGATCATAAGCCTAATAATTCTAATACTAATAATGTTAATACTAATACTAATGTTAATTCTAATTCTAATATTAATTATAATTCCAATCCCAATCCTAATGCTAATTATAATCCTAATACTAATATATGTCACTAAGTATCGTACTAAGCATAATCATAATCTTAATATTAATTATAATATTATCTTAATCCTTATTACAATTCGAACCCTATTTCTAGTATTAACACCGATACTAATTCAAAGAATATTAATTATAATGCTAATATTAATCACAAATCCTGATCTTGCATCATTTTTTTTTGCAATGATCTATTATTTTGTATAAAAAAAACAATTCTATCCAATCTCGAATCTTTATATCAAATTTCTTATGTGCGGTAGCTGAAGCATCAAAAAACACATATTAAATATATTAGAAATTAATATTTAATTATACTATCAAACTGACATTAAAAGTATTTAAAATATTATAAGGGTATAAATAAACGTTACGACGTAAAAGA